ATGATTCAATTTCTACTATATGATAGTTTTATATATGATAGTTTTGGTTGTAACAAAATGTATCAAATGATTCGATTTCTATTATATGTGAAATTTAATGTATATTTAACCTTTTAGTAAGGTCTTTTCATTGAGTTTTGCATAATCGAGTCAGTTTTTGATTTAACTGAGAAACAGAAAATTGAGTGTTATAAGAGTACGAAGAATTAAAACACATATTAAATTGAAACTAAAATTGGATGGGTCCATGGCCCATAGCAAATTTGAAAAATCAATACTATTGAACAGGCCTAAAACCAAAATTGGTTGGATTTCTAACGGTTCTGAAATGTGGATAAATCTTCTTGTTGTTACAACTTAAACACCCAAAATAATATCATCCCCAATCTGTATCAATGACATAAATTATCGCAACAACCTACATAGTTTTTCCTAAAAAAACGATAAATCCATAAATAAACAGTCAAAGAGATGTCAACTTCCATATTAGTATAGTTTTTGAAAATGCAATACCTCAGATGTTTCAAGTAACTCCTGAAGATTCTTTTGAGGATAATGCATGCATTTATCTCGCTTTATCTGCAACTCAAGCTTGTTCTTGTTTGATTCAGCCAGAGTTAACGCTTGAGAATCATCATTACATCTGCAAATATAAATAATTTTATAATTTAATCTATACTATTATAAAGTGAGAACATTTTTATTGAAGTAGATAAACACCGTTGTTTAAATTCATCTTCCTCTGGTATTCCAGGATTAACAAACATCTCTAGGTTGCGGATCAAACCCGCCCCACTGACCCGCCAACCCGCGGGTTTTAATTTGTTTTTTGTCAAAAAATCTGATCCGCACAACCCACGAACGTATAAATTTATATCTGCACCCGCCCCGCTTAATTTTGTGGGTAACCCGCAGTACCCACGGATTATACTTTTTTAAAAGATAATTATTTAATTTTATTTTATTAAAAAATAATATATTTATAATAAAAATTATATATTTTAATAATATTTATTTATTTTTACCAAAAAAAAATTTTCTAACAAAAAACCCCAATTAAAAAAAAAAAATAAAAAAAATTGCGGGTTGGCGGGGATCTGCGATTCAAAATCCACCAACCCGCACTCGCCCCGCATAAAATACTCATAACCCGCACCCGCCAATTAATTTTTTCAAATTGTTCGATCAGCATCCGCCCCGCAGCTGGTTAAACAGGGCGGGACCCGCGGGTGATGACTCAGATTCCCAACCCTACTTACATCATAAGCATTTGAGATTTGAACCTCACCAATAACCAAAAATAAATCATAAGTATTTGAGTAATTTTTTTTGACAAAAAACAGAAAAATGAAGGAATGATCAAAACATTGAGTTAGTGGAAACATATTTCCAACTATATAAACAATGGTCATTTACTACAAAATCGAAACAAAGTTTTCATTTTCAAAGAATACATCTATATTGCCCAATCTTAGTAAATCGTAGAAGACATATCATCATGCCTTCTGTTTCTTGGCTAGCTGTATAAAGATTCTCAGCAAATTTACCCCAAAGGCAGCAAGCTAATCTCTGACCACTAATAGAATTGCATGTCAAGTTATAAATTAATATGTTTATAGGCTTGTATCTTTTATATTAAATATATAAAACTTACGAAATGTCCACGAGACTAAAATCCAACTTATTCCTTTGTTTCCCACCACTACACCCTATGGTTTCCAGATCACTCAAGTCTGGAACTTGTCTAATAACATCTAAATAAAAATATACTCGTGTTAGATAGATACACAACAATGGAGATAATTTATAAAAATGGGAGAAAACTGACCAATAAGGAAGTTTTTATCTGTGATACTTTCTATGGTTTTTAAATCAACAAGATCAAGAAACATGTTGTCATCACAGTGTGTAGAATCGGTGATTTCAGTGGTGCCATTAAAAGCTATGCGATACTTATGTTGAGTTGATCTGTATGCTCCACCAGCGGTAGATACACTGAAACGATCAATGTTCCTCCATACTCCAACACGAATATGTTTTTCCAATTCAGAAATGTATGTCTTGTTACACGAGGTATGGATCTTAGTTCCCTATATAAACAAAAAAAAAATACATTATCATTTAGGTTAAAGTTTTACGAAATAAAGATATCTAAATCATAAATCTATATAAAACGATAAACTTACATTTGGATCACAAAGGATTAGTTCCATGGTCTCCCTGTGTCTTTCATGAAATGTCTCCATGTATGAAGGATTTTGACTTGGATGCGACATGCAGTCTTCCTCGGTTTTATATCGCTCAAGAAAGAACACTTCAAATTATTTGCCATTTTTGTTTTAGGGTTTTCAAGGAATGATGAATATATTGGTTAAGAGAGGCTATATTTAGGTAGAGACGATATACATTTAGGTTACGCAAATGTAGGGCAAAATATTTAGACGATTTTAAAAAATATCACTTTCGAGGAATAAAGAATATTTCTTGAAGATATTTTGAATTAGATAGGAAGTTTAAAGTTTAACAGTTAATGGTAATTCAACTACGGTAAGTTACCAAAATTTATGGAATCCAACCAAAGAATAACTAACCACGATATTGATTGTGGTTAATCTATAAACTTGTAGATGAAACAATTTATTTATTTTAGTAGGAAGATAATTATAGAAATTAGTTTTGCAATATTTTCTTAACAAAACGTATCTCGTCCATTAAATGTCACCATGAGAATGATGATATATCGACATATGAAGAAAAACATGAAATGAATGACATTTGTATGGATACTCCATTCTCAAATGTCTTGAAATGGAGAAAAAATAGGAAATGAAGGACATTTGAATAAATTCTCCATTTTCCTTATATTTGAAATGGTTTTGAGGTATGAAATAAATGATAGAAGTAGTGAGACATTAAAAAATGTTTGATATAGTCTGCAAAACTCATGAAAATGTCGATATAGACAATATATTATATAATACATTAACAAATGTCTACAACGATAACAAAATCTTAATATATGTAATATAAAGTGTAGTATGAGTTTATATCATATAGTCTTTGAAATATAAGGTGTAGTACAACTATATGAAAAATATTAATATATGAAATATTGCATCATATCATCGATATATGATGAATATACCAAAAAATGTCAACCAGAAAAATTATAATGTTGGAAATCTATAGATTGAAATCGTGTAATATAAGGTCTATAACACAATATAAATGTATGAAATATAGCATAGAATATGGTTAGAGTAATTAATGAGAAGAGATAATAAATCGAGTATATGTAATATGTGATAGATGTAAGCCCAAAAAATAAATTACCAAAATACCATTAATGAGGGTGCATACAACTTCCATCAGTCGATTTTTTAAATGTGTCTTCACTTTTAATAGTATAGATTACTTATATTTTGAAATAATAAATTAAATTACTGCATGCAAACTAGAAATTTTTGTGTTTGAAAATATTATATTAAACTATTAGCAATATGGTAAATATGAAAATTATATACCATTAATCATGTAAATCTAATATCAAACCATAAATAAAAGGGACATATGAATCTTGGGTAGACTATCTAAGTAGGTAAAAATAATCAACCAATACGCAGACTTGATTTTGACACGTCACCATGACTGAAATAGAGTGAACTTTCGTATGAGCTCTATTAAAATACCAGTCGGCCCACATCATCCCAGGTAGAGAAACCTGTTTAGTTTCACTTTTTCGTGAGTATCTCCTCCTCCAACTCTTCCCTTCATCTTCTCCAATGTCTGAATCAGTGATAATCTTATAACCATTCTTGAGTGTTTCTTTCCACCCCTCTTGATCCTTCTCCTATATAATGCCCTATCTCTAAACCTTAATCCATCCTAAATTAAAATCTAATCTAGCGACGCTACACCCATGCCCATTTGCCTTCTATTTCAACGACGTCTCAACCAGGACCAGCTAAGTCAGAGCTTCGAATTCAGTTCTAGGAGGCAAGAAAATTTTCTAAAGGTGAAACATTTATTGGGTTAAAGCTCCTCCTCACTGATGATGAGGTATGAGTTCTTATCTGCAACTTTCCTTCCATAGTAGTTTAAACTAGTCTCCCTAAGCGCGATTGATTTCTACACCAGCAGGATACTGTGATGCAATCATGCAAAGTTCCTCACTACTCTTGCTCCAATATACCTGCCACATCTCAAAGCAGGAACAACTTACATACTTTAGAATTTTTACACTGCCAAAAGTAAGGAGATTTCTTCTTTCCCGACACTACTCTGTTCTTTTCTTGACGAAATCCGCCTCTCTTTTGCACTAGACAGATTCAGGTTCCACACACATGATGATTTCCAAGCTAATTGTGGTTTTAGGGGTGACCTCTATGGTAATATGTTTTATTTATAAAATCTTCTCCACCTTAATATGTCTATCTGCATGTTGATTTTTATATTTGACCATGTTTCTCTACTCTCCATAACATTATTGTAGATGTTTTGGCCACTTAAGGCTGGTGACAAAAAAAAAAATCATGTTTCCATGTTCTCATCTATTGAGTGCTGAGTTTGGGATGATGAACGACACCAACCAAATCATAAGTAGAGCTGAGCAGGCATGATCTGTTCTGAAGTAATATAGCATCACTTTTGGATCGTCGAAATAATCACTGCTTTGTTTTTATGTACTTATCTCATAACACATCTAAAATGGTCCCAGTTCAAGGTAAAGTAACTTACAAAATCTTTTCTTCCTTTTGATTCTATGTATCTTTAATGTTCAGTTGAGGGCTACAACACCAATATCTGGCATTGAAAAGACTTTCAAGAAACTACTGCAACTTAACAAGACTCCTGAAGAGGTCTTCGATGTTCTGAAGTAAATTGTTCGTCAGTCTTTGCTCCACATGTTTTAAAGGTCTGTAGAACTCTTCCGAGTGTCCGACACTTTTTGTGACTTTGTTTTACTGATGTGTTTTGGTAGAATGTTTTCAGGATTCGTGATGGTTAGACACAGTTATATACGAGGACACTTCTCTTTTGATAAACAAGAACTCAACGAAGATCTGCAACAGAAAGGTATACCAAACAAAGAACTCTACAAAGGCTTTTATTGAATATCTACTGAAGTCTAGACTCTGTTTTTTGTTGCACCAGATTCAAGTTGCTTTCCACACGGATAAAATCCAAAGAATTCCACCTACACCACAAGATTACATAAGAACGGCTTTGAGCTACTGCCATGAGAAAACCAGAGAAGGAGTTCTGAAATTCTTGAGGCGTGTTGCCACAGCTCTGAAGAACACTAGAAATTTGGAATTAATGAACATGTTCCTTACGATGCACCCCTCATTCAGATCTCTTCTTGGATGGGTGGAGAGCGTGATGGTTCTCTCTTAATTCTTTCTTTTCTTGAACATTTTCTAAATCCAGGAAACACGAGAGATGTATGCTTACTTGGTTTATAGGTGGGGGATCCGGACTTTCATTAACCATTGACCATTCCTTTTTGTTATATAAATTTGAAGAGTCTCACAACGGTTTTATATATGAATGACTGACTGATAAAAGTCTTTTATAACTGCTACTGACTCAGAAGATGATTAAAGCATTGTAGTAGCATTCTTATATTGTACCATGTCACAAATTTCTGATTCTCTCTTAGTTTACAGTTATAAGCTGTTGAAAATGATTATAGCATTCTAATAGACATCTTACGGTCCCACTACAAGATCTTTGCTAATATATTGCGTTATGTTTCATTAGTAGTACAGTTCCTAGACAAAAACTAAGTTTGGAAGATCCTAAAAGTAGACACAGGTCTGTTTTGGTAAGTCAGTAGCAATGTATTGTTGTTGCTGTGTAATGTGACTTTTACTAATTAACATTTTAAAGAGGCCAATTATGTCAAATCAAATAGAAATCAAATAGTGCACTATGTATAGCAAAAACCACACTTACGAAAATAATAACCTTTAAGTTAATGTTACAAAAAAAAGAACAAAGGAAAACATTTAAAAGAAAACAAGAGCATACATAATATATTTGCAACAAATTAAAATGTAAAAGTTGGGTGTAGAACATATAACTCTATACTAGTAAGCGAATTTTAGCATTCTTAGAGTGTATTTCATATGATAATTTCCAGATAAAAACGTTTCAGTACTTCAATAAAAACATTGTATTGAATTTGTTCAAAAATTTAAATAATCATATTTATAAATAAAAATAAAATTCAGTAAAAAAATAAACTAAATTTATTACTTTACACCACTGAAAAATAAAATACATTTATCCATTATCAGTAAGTTTGTGTAAAGAACAATTTAGATTAGAGCATCAAAAATTGATGCAATTTTAGAAGGTTTTATAAATTTAGATAATTTCTAATCTCCTTTCCACTATTTCAACTTCATCTTAGCTATTTAGTAATTAACTCTAAAATAATAAATGGAAGTATGTTTAAACAAATACTCACTCCGTTTCACTTTAATTGTTATTATAGGTTTTTGCACACGAATTAAGAAAACATTTCATTTTATATATTTTCAAGATAAAAACACAATTACCTATACATCGAACCACTTTTTAACCAACAGAAAAATAGAATTTTTTTTGACATCACCAATAGAAAAATAGAATATTATATAAAACTAATAAATTTTGCTTCGAAACTCTAAACGACACTTAATTTGTGACAAAAATTAAGCCTAGAATGACAAGTATTATGAAACGGAGAGAGTATATGATACATAAAATAAGAGAATATATATATATAAAAAAATATAGAGTATTTGTTATTTTATTAAAGAGTTAAACATGATTACTAGACGATTAATAGAGACTTTAACTATACTTAAATCTCAGATATAAAATAATAGTGTTTTAAATAAAAAAATATAGTCTTTCAATACATTTCACTATAATTTGTCAAATTTATATAAGACTATAGTTAAACTTTGATGTTTAGGTTTACCATTAAATAAATATAAGTCTTATTGACATAAACCTCTAGTTTGTATAAAATGAAAATAAGCATGTTCTACGGGTCAAAATCTAGAAGTCTACTAAAAAACATCTATTAGTTTTCGGTTCGGATGAATAAGTACATAAAGAATAAGTCTCAAAATTAAACCGACATCGAATTGCTTCGGTTCAGTTTCCTTTTTAACAGGAGGCCGGAATTGAAACCAAAATAGAGTTTGGGTTAGATCTTCACAATATCGGTTTAAGAAAAGAAAAAAAAAGAGAAAAGGTTGACATAGTTTCGGTTTAAGCTTATAATTTGGTTGGTCTTAGCTGCATTGGGCCTAACTTATACTAGAAAGGCCCAATTATGAGTGAGGATCTTATTTAAGCCTAGGGTTTATCATGTGTATTTATTTTATACACACTTGTCGCGGGAATCGCTCGTTTGTGGCCGGAACCACTCCCGTCGTTTGAATCTCGATTCGGCGGTGAGAAGCCCTAATTTTCCCTTGTGTTTGAACTGAATCGAAGATTCGAATGAGGCAATGGTGAAAACGGAAGTGAAGAGTGAGATTGTAGAGGACATGACAATCAAAGAGAATAAGCGGCGGCGCGTGGGTAGCTCGGATGACGTGCTAGATAGGAAGTTCAAGAGGACTATGCTCTGCGTGGCGAAACCGTCTTACCTTCTGAGTCTTCTTGAGCGGAGTAGTACCCGAAGCAATTACCTCAAAAGGTTGCCAAAGATCCTCAGTGAGCTGCTTCGCCAGAGAAACTGGAGAGAAGCAAGCGGTGTTCTTAGCCTTTTGATGCAAGGGACTATGAGAGATGGCTCTCCTACCATGAACCGCCTCAAATACGAGGTTCTCTCTTTCTTTCTTTCTTTCTTTTTTTTGCTTTGTTTGTTGTTCGTGTCTGTTTCTTACATGTTCCCTTCTCCAAAGATGATAGGAACTTGTGCTTTGCTGTTGTTGCTTTCTGTTTCTTACATGTTCCTTTTGTCGGGTTTGTGTTGTTTCTTGCAGGCTCAAATACAGATTCTGAGTCACTTGCAACCTGACAAAAACAATGTTGAGGAGATTGCAAGAATATATGATACTTGGATTGGGAAGATTGGTAAACAGTATAAAGAGGTCCCCTCTTTTAGATTTTTTTTTTTTTTTTTTTATTCTTTAGCTGGATTGTGTTGTAGCTACTTACATTGAATTGGAGAAGAACTTGTAGTTGTTTGTGATTGAGTACTGTTCAAAGGCTTGAGACTGACTTTGAGTTTAACTGTCATTTGGACAGGAGAGGCTCATGGTTTGGTTCGAACAAATTTGTCATTTACTTGACCATGGTATGGAGAAGGAGGCCGAGTATGCTGCAATTGGGTACACTTTCATGATGTCTTCTTGAACTAGGTTTTAAGGATGTGTCAGGATTTATGTAGCTTATTTTTTTTAGTTATTCTACTTTCAATGTAATTGCATATATTCAACCTTTTATTCACCCTAAGGGCGGTGTACTACTGTTTCTTGTTTCAATTAGTTTTGTTGACTTATCTTCTTGTTTTTGCAGTATGATGCGGAGCCGTGATCTGGGGAACCTTCCACGCACCAATCTATATATAGGAATCACATGCTACAGATTGTGGTGTCGGAAATACTCAAACGAGTTGGAACCTAAAGACGCAGATTGCAGTGACAGCATATCTAATATGTCGGAGTCAGGATCTGGTGTTATGGCTGAGTGTTCACCCAGGAACGAGTCTGTTTACTCTGTGGAGTCTTCTGTTTCTGTTAGAAACGAAACAGAGGCTTCTGTAGGGAATTATGAAGTAAATTCTGATGCGTCCACCCGTGACTCAGGGTCAGTGGTGGAGGTGAAGGTGAAGCTGGAGAATGTAAAACTAGAGAGTCCTCAGCATTTTACCGAACCACCACGAACCTATGCCTCATCTGAAGAAAACGAAGAGCCTTTGAGAGCTGAAGTTGCATTCGATCCCGCTCTTATTCAAATTCTTGGTTGGTGGAATTTTCTTTAGCTCGAGCATTATGCTTTCTAAACCCACAACCAGTTCTGTTGATTGATTTCATGGCTTCTATTGTTTGTTTGTTTTGTTAGGGGACATAGATCCATGGTTGCTTCCTTTGAAACCGCCTGAAGATCCTGATTTCCATGGAAAGATAGTCAATGATTCTTATTATAAGGACGCAGTGGAGTATCTGCGGCTTACGATGCAGTCTCCTCGTTATGTATCTTTGGCTGCATTACATCCTCTTGTACAGGTAAAAAGATGACTCATAATAATGTTCTTCCCTCAAAAGCTTGAATGTCTAAGACTGATTATATGTTTCCCTGTAGCTTCTCTTAATTGGAGGCCGTGTAGATGAAGCGATGAAAGTGGTTGAGGAGATATGTAACAAAGTACATGATATCAAACCTTTCAGGTAAAAAAGGATCTTCTCAGTCCCTATTAGTTTAGTATCTGGTTTGCCTTAGGAAGTTAGAATATGGTAACAAAGGAGTTTCTGAAGTGGGATTTTGTTTGTTTTGCTGTAGGATTAAGGCTGTTATGAAGGAGAAGTTTCATAATAACAGCGACGAGCTCGCAAAATGCTACGAAGATATCTTAAAGATTGATCCTAGTTGTGTAACTACTCTGAAAAAGCTTATTGAGATGTCAAAAGAAGGTACTTATACAGTTATACTTAGGGTCAAGCCACCGAACACCTTTTTCATTCTTGAGACCTTGAATCCTTCTTAAGTCTGTCTCTCTAATACCATTTTTTTTCTACTTGCAGATGATTATAGTAGAGAGTCGGTACTCGAAATGATAGCATTGCACGTAGAAGCTTCTTTTCCGGAGCCTGAAATCTGGAAAGAGTTTGCAGAGATGTTGATTCTCTTCTTTGAGAATGTTGATGAAGACCGAATGTCGGTGTGCTTCAACGGATCTGGGGAAGAAGGGTGTCAACAAACATACTCTGTTCGATACAACCCGACACCTAGAATGTTCACTGATACATCATGGACGCTTCGAGCTAAGTGGTGGCTTAATCGCCATTTCTCCCCCGAGATACTCGAGACAGAAATGAAAAAGCTTGAGGCAGAAAAGAACAACGGTATATCCTTTATACACAACAGAACTCTAACACTGTCTTCAGATTCAAACTGAAAGTGAATTATGATGTTGTCAGGTGATTTGGAGGTGATGAGATTGATGAGTTACAAAGCGGCATGTGCAAGTCGTCTCTACGGACCAGAGTTTGGTTATGTTACAAAAGTGTATGGTTTGCTGGAGAGTAATAGGAACAACGTTTGTATGTTTGAGAATGTTGGCAACAACATAGGTATGTTGGAGAATGATAGGAGCAGTTTAGAGTTATTCTACTTTGTGCGAAGACACAGGCAGAATTGGAACAAAATATACGACTTAGAATAGTTCACACACGATACATTTTTGGTTTTACTAATATTGTAAGTTTTATATTGATGTAACAATATGGGAACTACTAAATTTTGAGGTATTATAATCGGGGAATGAATTGTAACTTTGTGTTTTTAGTTGTAGAAATGATGTGGTAAATTTATTTGTTGTAGATTCATTTGATATAGCTTTATAAAACATTTATTTTTTGTTTTAGAAATAAATTTTTCTAAAGATATTTTAGCTGTAGGTTTTTAAAGAAAAAAAGCTTAATAGGTTAAAATATATTTCTAAACTAGGTGATTTTCCCGTGCTCATGCACGGACATGTATATTTATAAAATAAATATACAATAATAATTAATTGATATTTACTTTAATTTTTAAATTAATTTATAGTTTGTATGTCTAATTTATATTATAATATTATATTACTTTAACTATATAAATAATTTTAGATATGTTATATTTAGTCTGTTTTATTGTTTTTACGGTCCATTTAGTTATCATTTAGATATATTGGATTCTATTTATTTCTCTGAATTCAACTATAATCTTTTATATTTTAAATATATTAAATTTTTGATTAATTGTCTTATTTGCATTTATGCTGGTTGTTATTTTAGAAATATAAGTATATTTAGTATAACTTAAGATTTTTTTGTGCTTAGAAAGAAAAATAAATAAAAACTAAAGTGTCTGATTCTAAATTACATACATAAGTAACTAATGAATTTTTAGAAGTTTTTGAACTCATATCAATATTTACAATATTAAAATATTTTATAAATTCTAAATAAATTTATGCTTTAGATAGATTGGATAGTAAACTGAAATTTATTTTAAATAATTTTAAAAATAAGGATTCTGATTTGCTTAAGTATTTTGACTATGGTTATATTAAGTTTCACAAACATAAAAACAGAAAATTAATAATCAAAGATTTATTAAGAAAACATATAATTTTAACTATTAAAATATAATATATCTACCTTGTTAAATTATATAGTGTTATGGTATTTTAAAATAATTGTAGTTATTTTTCTGTTTTTATGTTTGTGAAACTTAATATAACCATAATCAATATACTTAAGTAAATCAGAATTCTTATTCTTAAAACAGATAATTTTATATTAAAATATAATATATCTACCTCGTTAAATTATATAGTGTTATGATATTTTAAAATAATTGTAGTTACTTGATCAAAAGATGTTTATTATTATATTTATTTTTAGTTTTATTTTTAGCATCTCTTAAAATATTCAGTAAAAAGTGATTGTTTTTGAGAAATTATACTATATAAGTAAAAGAAAATTTGTATTTTTATTGTAATTGTAAGATATTATAGTCAAACAAATTTACTAAAAAAATAATTTCAATAATACTAATTATAAAAAAATATCAATTAAACATATATCAGTTTATTTTAGTTGATTATTTTATGTAATCATCTAATAAAATAGATAGATATATACAAAAATAATTATTTTGAAAATAAATAAATATTGTTTAAAATTATATTTTTAAAAGAAAAAATATTTCTTTTTCTAATAGTAATATTTTTTGTGTGAATTTTTTTTATGAAATCACACTATATACATATATATTGTTTTATCTAAGAAGATATAGATATAAAGTATTTTATTACTTCAAAGGTGTATTTTATGTTTTTTAAAATATATTTAAATTAAATATTACTATTTTGTGAACTTTCCTTTTTTATTAAACCATATTATATATTTTTATATTTTCGTTTTTAAATAGTTTTGTAAATTTTATAAATGTTTCCTTTTTATTTTAAATTGTTATTTGGAAATTGTTAAAAAGGAAATAATATTTAATTGTATTTTTAATTCATTAGGGGTATCATAGTAATCAACCAACGTGAGAGTTAATGTGAACGCGACATCTAAGAAAGTAATTTCTATCCTTGTTTTTAAGTCTTGTCCACTATTTTTAAATGTTTTTAAGTTATAATCTTGTAATTAGTTCTAGAGAACTGAACATCTTCACAGAGTTTCTCACTTTTTATTTAATAACCTCTTGGTTACTAAAGATTTTATTTTTAAAAATGGCACTGTAGGCTAACTATAGGATTACATATATTATAATTTTCTCACCTATATTTTATTATGATAGGTAGGTTTTATTTTATACTAAGGAGACAAGAAGTGTGTTTTTCTGATACATATTAGCATAATTCCCTATTTTAAACCGATGTGTTGATAATTTAAATGATCCTTCTTCTAATTGCATCACTTTAAACTAAAATCATTGGTTGAACCGTTTCTGTTTTACACCTATCAGAAAACATAAGCATGGCATCATAGGATTTTTTGTTTAATATATATTACAAAATTCACTCCCAAATTCAAATTCACAAACATAGTACCGACAAATGACAAATTCTTATCACATCATTATAAATATATTCAACATGTTTGTCTATCAGAATTTGATCCCAAGATAACTGAGTCTAGTAGTTACATCACTTGGGTTATTTAGAATCGATTGGGTTTGATAACATGGGCTAGGTTATGTTATCTCAATGTAATCTTTTGACCTCAACAAGATCAAATAAGAATAACTCAAATCTTATTATTAGTTTAAGAAAATTCTCTCAAAAATTTAAGCTCTCACAATAATTTATAAAACTCATAAATTTATGGCACACCTCACCATCCTCTTATATAGATCTATATAATTTCTAAACTCTCTTAACAAACCATATTTCCTTTTCACCTAATCATAACTCAAGTTGGATTAGTAATACTTGGATCATAAGTTATCTCTAAGCTTACTTCCAACATTCTCTCTGTTAAGGTTAAAGTTAACTTTTTCTAAATTTTGAACTGTAACAAGTTCTCTCATTTTCTTAAACTTGATTCTTCCCAACACTTTTGTTAAGATGTTAGCCTTTTTCTTCCTAACACACGATAAAGAAAATATTTTTTCATGGTCGTATTGAAAATTTGATATAACAGATAGTTTATATGTGAAGTGACAGAGGAGGAAGAAAAGTTCGTTGCAAGAGAAGAAGAAGAATGTGTCGCAGGAGAAGAGAGAGAGAAGCGTAGAAGTAGTGTTTGTTGATGATTTTCTACCTTGGAAATTCTTTTAGTTGTAACCAGTAATTTCGGGAAATTACTAAAACTAACACATTCATGATACACTATTTCACTTTTACATTAATCATCTTTACCTTAAAAATTTTGATAGTCAAAAGACCATAATACCCTTAATTAATTTTGTGGAAAATATATAGTTTAGAATTTAGGGTTAAGGGTTAAGAATTTAGTATTTAGGATTAAGAATTTAGGGTTTAGAGTTTAGGGTTTAGAATTTAGGGTTTAGGGTTTAAGATTTCGAATTTAGGGTATAGAATTTAGAGTTTAGGGTTTATAATTTTAGGGTTAGGGTTTAGGGTTTAGAATTTAGGATGTAGAACTTAGGGTTTAGGGTATAAAATTTAAGGTTTAGGGTTTAGAATATAGGGTTTAGGGTTTAGAATTTAGGATTTAGAGTTTAGAGTTTAGAATTGAAATTTTAGGGTTTAGAATTGATATTTTAGGGTTTAGGGTTGATTTTTAGGGTTTAGGGTCTAGGGTTTAGGGTTTGAATTTCAAAATAGTATAATTTGAAAAAAAGAAAAAAAATATTTTTTGTTTTTGTGTTTTTTATTGAGTTAAATATTTATTTTTTATATATAAATAACAAATTTATAAGAGTCTTTTATCCTTTAAAGAAAAGTGTATTTTTGAAAATGTTATTCTTCTTAATATAAATATGAATTAGTGTACTTAAAAATAGGTATTTATACAATTCTCCCAGTAATTTCAGATGCTAAAACTCTTCCAATCTGTAACAAATAATTCTTTAGCTGGAGAACTTTAAGCAGATTAAAAATGTGTTAGATATTGTGAAACTGGAAAAATATGCGGGCACGTTATACTGTTATAGCAAATAAAATTTATTTGTTTTATAATCTGAGAAATAAATTGGTGGAGCCGTTAACAAATCGTCACCACTTCTCTTCTTTAAACATTTCTAATGTTCTGTTATTTAATTCTTGCGTGAAACATTTTCATACCAAAAGCTATTTTCACTATAATGTAACCCAATCAGATAAGTCATACCAATAATTTACATTAAATAACTTTTTTCTAGAAAATATATTCGAAAAAGATATTTTCTCTCTAACTAAAAAAAAGCAATACTGATACATTAATTTGTAATAAACTATATCCCAAATGGAATTGTGAAAAATAATTTTTTGTTTTTTAACATTTGAAATTTACCAATAAACAATGTATATAAAATATAAAATTTTTTTTTGTTGAAATAAATATTTTTTAAATTATTGATATTTTTGGTACTGAAAAAATGTATATCTAAAACAATAAAAAAATATATGTAAATTTCTTTTTTTTAAAGATATAATGTTATGAATTCAAAAGTCCTTAATAAAAATATAATGCTAATAAAAATATATATTACATCATATGAACAAGTAATGAAATATAATTTTATTTGAAAAAAATAATAAAATAAAATAAACTTATAAAAATACTTACACCATTAAATGAAAAATCTTATAAACCATCGCAACAAGCCTATTATTAAATTTAGGTTATGCAATCACATTTGGGCTCAATATGATACTATCAAACATTTTCAACCGAGAAAATGTAAAAACGAAGAAATCATACAACAATTTACACAATAATATATAATCATATTTAAAAAATAGTAATAATATTATATAAAAATGGTTGTTAGATTGCAATATATTGTTTTATGTTTATAGTTTAACAAATGATATAATAAATAGCAATATTTTTCATAGAAATTTTGGTGTATTTAACTCATACAACATTTTGAAAAGTTGTTTTATTTATTTTTTTTTATAATTTTTTTTAAATGAATGAGAGATATAATTTAGTTTACTTAAAGTAATGAGTATTCATATTAGATTTACCTATTACATTTGTAATAAAATATATTATAAACATTAAATAACATTAAGCAAATAATTAATAAACAGAAATATATAAATAATATATATAACAAATTGAAATATATAATCTGCGGGTAGCGTAGACCGACCCTAGTTTTAAATATATACATGCATATTCTCAAATATAATTTAAAATTAAAAAAAAATTATCTTATTTTTTATGTTTAATTCAATCAAATTTATATTAAAATATTGATAAGAAAAATAAAAATTACAATATTAATAAAATTTTATTTTCAAATAAGATTTTCTTTTCAAATAAAATTTATATTTTTCTGTTAAAAAATATTTTATTTTTTTTACTGCACATTAGTAAGATTGAAGGTACAATTAAGAGTGAGATGAAAGAGATACTTGGTATTTCAACAATAGGTAGCATTCTAGAAAGTTTGGGAAATTTAACACACAATTTTTTTTGGGTTTCCAACTTAGGATATGTCCTAAAATAGTATTTTCCATTTTGTTGTAAAAAAAAGATAATAAAAACCCTACGCAATCCGAACAAGAATAGGTAAATGAATAAAAAGCCCTAGATAAAGCAAGTTAGCCTGTACATTTTTTTTTCAGTGTCACATAAGCCAAGAAACCAAACAAAAAAAGAGTGACACCATTAACACATATTTATATGTGCACAAACAAAAAATGAGTACAAATTTACAGAATTCTTTTGGAGCTGAAAACAAACCCAAACTATTGTTTTCTTCTCTTCTTGTTAAGTTTCCTTTTTTATATAAATATAAATATATATATATATATATATATATAAACCCAAAAGATTAGAGAGCCACTCTTTCTTCCTATTAAACAGTTGTCTTCTCCATGACCAATGCCTCTGCTTTACAGATTGGGCAAACGTTCTTCACAACCAGCCATTTCTCCAAGCATTCTGCATGATACTCGTGCCCACAATCCAAAGTTGCAATCTTCTCTTCGTTCTTGAAGCTTTCCTGTAACACACAAATCGAGAGAACTCTTTAGAGCTTTTAAAATCCATGCCTGTGCAGCCTTGCTTTGATCTTTTGGCTATATTTTCTTTACCTGACATATTGTGCAAGGTTCTGTTCCTCTGTCTTTAGTTTGTGGGGACGACGACGAGGACTCTTCTGCATGGTTGATTACAGAACATGTTCTTGTTTTCAGATGGTTCTTAACATCTTCCTCTGGCAAACCAGTGTTTACTGTTCCAATTCGCTCGCTCAAAGCAAGGAGCTCCTGTTCAAACCCCACGGTTTATCAAATCAGGTCAAGAGAAAACTGCAGCTGCTACACACCTAACTCTGATAATAAGAGAGATGACATGCCTAACTCTGATAATAAAAAGACAAGCTACTTGCAGCTGCTATAAAAACATCTGTAAAGGGAAAGGGTTGGCTCACCTCATAAGACATTTCCTCGATGTCCAAACGCATATCTCGATGATGATCAATGTGGTTATTTCCAGAACCACCAAGGAAGTCTCCAAACTCCAATATCGCAACTTCCTAAACACATTGAGAGAACCAAACAGAATCTTGAGCACCGACGACAGTGAAGGAGATAAGGAAAGAAGAAATGAGGCAAGAAAGTTACATACATCATCAGGCATCATTCTAAACCGAGGAACTCCTCCACGGTGTTGTCTAAGCGCTGCTAAAGGTACAGAATCATCTCGCTGATGATGCTGGTATATCCGAAACCCGGTTGGTTGAACTGGACCCATCTCTGAACCCGAGGGACCTCTGTTGATTGTGTTCTGAGGAGCAAAGTTCCCATGAGGAAACCCATACGAAGCCATGGTAGGGTATAATGTGGCGCTCTGGCCTCTCACTCCTTGTACAGGAGGAGGAGGAGGAGGTGGAGGGTGAAAATAATGGTCCCTCGGGCTTAACTGGGGAGGATACATGAATGCTGTAGGGTTTCTACTACTAGAATCTATGGAACCAGCGACAATGTTACTACCTAAAAGATTATTCAAAGGTAGATAATCAAGATTACAAAAATTCACAGTTTTAAAAAGAGATCATGGGTGGGAAGGTACCATGCATGTAAGGTGGGTGGGGCCAAAACGAGGGTGAACCATCAGATCTTCCATGGTGTTGGTCATACCAGATTGGGCCAGGAGGTGGGAGAGGATGATGGCCAGGATAGCTCCCTTGAAAGAAACTATTTGGAGCATGAGGAGGAGGAAGACCAGGGTTCATTGAAACAGCTCCTGGTCTGCTCCTTGGGGCTCCAAAAGGAGCTATTGTCTCAGGTGTATTATTGAATGGAGCTGCTAAAGTACTTAAATACTGAGGATTCATGTGTAATCCATCGGCGTTCTTTCTTTTATAAGCACCTCGTGTGTGATCCATAAAGTGAGCATTCCTGTCGTATTCATGATCAGAACTTACACCGTGACTGCTTGAGGACGGTAACTGACTTGGCGGACCCTGAAATGCCGGGTAGGGAACATAGTAATTCGTCGGAGGAGGAGCAGGCTGATGAAGTTGATGATGGTGATGGTACTGAGGAAGACCGTAGAACATTGCAGAGCTGTCATAGGAGGTTGGAGCTTCTAAATTAGGAAAGCTTGCAGCCATTGCGGGTAGGTTAGTACTATTATCAGGTTGTTGTTGTTGTGGAAAGCTGCCTAGAAGGATGCAAGGCCCTGGTTGGAGAGAGGCTTGAGATTGGTGCTGCTGCTCCATTTCTAAATCGACTGTTCTATTTCTTTGTCCCATTTCGCTTGCTGCATAAGCCCTCTGATATGATATGTTTGATAATAAAGAAACATTAGCAGCCATAATGATGACACAGAAAAGAAGAAACGGAGTACTTTAAAAAAAAAAGGGTATAAACGAAGTAAGAAATTGAGCTTTTTATATCAATATAACCAATTAATGCAACATTATTATACCTTCTCAAGCTGATACTTAAAACTAAGGTATATTACATCAATAACACTCTTTGAAATCTGCTGCATATGTCAACTTGTGATATTGGGAATGAAGTAACGAGATCAAAACATACAAACACATGTTCACAACAGATTGCATTGTGCATTCTCAAACTCATCTTAGCAGGGTAAAAGCCAAGATCTACAAATACCACAACAACAAAAAAAATCAAAACTTGCATACATGACAAAAAAGGATGAAACAAGCCCACCATGCCTAAACTAACATCAGAACTAGCATCTAATGCCAGAAGGAAGAAAAGACAAAGTCTCAGCAACCATAATGATGACACAACAAAGTACAAACTGAGCAACAAATTGAGATTTTATCAATTAATGCAACATGAATAACCTTCTCAAACTGATACTTAAACTAAGCTATATTACACCTTTGTACGCTGCATATGTCAAATTGTGAATTTGGTATTAAGTAACGAAATGAAAACAACAAAGCACATATGTTCACAAGTCACACCCGACGGTATTGTGCATTCTCAAACTCATAATGACAGGGTAAACCCAATTCTACAACTAGCCAAAAAATCAAAACTTTCAGCTTGAAAGGTTATGAGTTATATGAAGGAAAGTATAGCTGAGTAAGAGTTTTGAGTTGTATAAAAGAAAGTATAACCCATTCTACAACTAGCCCTCTGATAGTTAATGAGTTATATAAAAGAAACATGAGCAAGCATAATGATGACACAAGAAAGTACTATAAAATGACTAAGAAATCGAGCTTTTTATATCAAACTGATGCAACATTATTACACATTCTAAAGCTGGTACTTATAACTAAGATACATTTCATCAATAACACTCTTTTGTAAGCTGCATATGTCAGCTTGTGATTGTATTGTACAAAGCAACATGTTCTCGGACGATACATTCGTAAAGCCAATATAATTTTCATGAAATTAAAATTAAAATGAGAAACTAAGAACAATTCTACAACTACCAAAAAAAAAATCAAAACTTTCATGCATTAAAAAAGAAAAGAAGAAACAAGCCCACGATGCCTAAACTAACATCTAATGCAAATTACGGAAATAAACAAAATCAAGAAAGAAAGAAAAAAATTAGACCTTGAGAACATAAAAGGAGAAAGCTTGGGAGATTCCAAAGGGCAGCAACGAGCTAGACAAGACAAAAAGACTTGTAAAATAATATCGAAAGAATCCGAAAACTCCCTGCAAACATGCAGATATGGTTATGAACAATCTTAGATTATCAAAATCTCCCAGAACAATGCAATTTCTTCATCATCATAACAATAATTAAAAACCCACCAAGATAAAATAATTGAGAGGATTACAAGAGAAAAAGGGCTTCAGGAAGCCGATTATCGTGATGATTAAACGTGATAATTACCTGATTATGAAGGTTTAATCAGGGAGAGAGAGAGAAGGAGAGAGAGAGATCAGAAGCAGAGAGGAAGAAGAGGTGAGGGGAGAGAGAGAGAGAGAGAGGGACGTCGGTTTCTTGATTCTAACCCTTTCTTCTCGCACGCTGACGCAAATAAGCTTTTTATTTATTTTTTCCCATTTATCCCTCTTTCCATTTTTCTCTCTTTTATTTCGTTTCCTATTTTTTCATTGGTTTCTCATTTTTGCAGCATTAATTTAAATTCTTATTAATTTAAAGAAATAGACAGTGCCCTAATTATAGACCTAAACAATACTATATTTTTACACAAAATTTTATAAAACATTAAACTTTTAAATACAAAGAGTACTCTCTATATTTCAAATATGAAAAATATAAAATATTAAACTTTTAAATACAAAGAGTACTCTCTATATTTCAAATATTTCAAATATAAAATATTAAACTTTTAAATACAAAGAGTACTCTCTATAGTTATTTATTACTACTTACTTTAACTAGTGCAAACTTTTAATCTCAGAATCTATTTTTTGGTCTTCATCATAGCTGATTGCTGAAGCATGCCAACCATGAATTTAATTTCATTTATTTATCAAGTTTATAATTTTAATTATAGAGGATTTTGTCTTCATAAAATGATACAAACTGAAATGATTTTCTTAAATTTGAGTACTCCATTAAATAATGGTTCCACTGGTGAATTCTTTTAAGAGAAAATGACTAGAATAGACCTAAAAAAGTTTTTATCATAAATATAGACCTTAAAAATTAAAATAATCAAAATAACATTTAAATATTTTATTAAATATATATTTATACCTTTGGGTTAACTAATCTTAGATTTTTTTTTGTCTATAGTTGAGGACTGGGGTTTTGGGAAGACTATTTGCATCCCATACACACCAATTTTCCCCTAATTCACTAACTACCCTAAATCACCCTTATCTCTCCTCCCCTCATCACAACTTTTTTCCCATATCCTTATGGCAAATCCCTAATTTTCTACTTCTTTTGGTATTTCTACCTAATTTACTCTTTTGGGAATAGGGTTTCGAATTTAAAAAAATTAAGAAAACTTAAAATTTTCAAAATAAAAAATGCTAGTTTAATCATTTTAATTTTTGAGGTCTATTTTGTGATAAAAACTTAAAAGAAGACTATTTTAGAGAATTGCCATTTTTTAATTACAAGTTTGCTAAGAAATATATACTCCGTATAACTGAATGTTTACTTTATTTCTGCACTTAGATAGATTTTGAGAAAAGTTATTGAATTGTTTGGTTTTCTTAACACAAAGCTTTAAGGAAGTGTCGTCCCAATGCATGTGCTTTCTTTGCTGAACCAGCTTGATACCTAATTATGCCCAAACATTAATTTACAATTTATGGCTCCACAGCGTTGTGGACAATCTAAACCAGACAACCACATCTTATCCAAGAAATTAAAACCCAAATGCGCTGTGTTATTAACTGATTTAAAGTAATTGATCTTCATGCGACACCGTTTAATGATACTGCAAGGCGTTGATTTCCTTATGTTCTTCTATGTCCAACCACATTTAGTATAAACGATTATCTTTTTAAATTAGAATCAAAATAATTCGAGAAAAAAATATCGGCATAGAGCCTGAAATTCCACTGTTAACAAAAAACACTATTTTAAACTGTGTGTTTGTAATACATAAACTTTGTGGAAAAGGTAAATCTTCTTCTTATTAACCAAAAAAACGAAAAGAAAAAAGGGTAAATCTTCTTAGTAACCTAAATAGTTCAAAAAAAATAAAACCTAAATAGTTAGAGAAAATAAAATAAGATAAAATAAAATAAAATAAAATAAAATAAAATAAAATAAAATAAATACGCATGGCTAAACTGGTCAATTGAGTAAAATTCTTGATTAACTAATAATTATTGAAAATCACCCGTTCAAGTTTCATCGTTCTTTTCAAATGTTTGCTTAATGGAAAAATAATTTAAAGAAAACATGTCTGCTCAATGTTCTTAATCTGTCAAATGTTTTTTTTTTTTGAAGAAGGGCTTTAATCTGTCAAATGTTTGCTTAACGTTAATTCCTTTCAACCGAACCGAGAGAGCATAGGTTGGTCACTTGTTTGTTGACCAAACAAAACAATCGTAGTTCGAGCTAAGATGTACATTTTGACTTTTTAGTCAAACACATACAGAGAAGAATCAAATCAACATACACGCAAATCTATGACATCGTTCTTAGTGTATCTGATTAAAATACCAACAATATATCTCAAAATCACCGTCACAAATACAAGTATCTACTTTTGCGGTATCATCTAGTAATTTTATTAATTGGTACTTTTTGCAGAATAATTTGATATACTATACTTGAAGAAGTAGACATACACCGTATACATACGTATTAGCCACACCACGTATTGGAAAAGCAATCACATATAGCCAAAAAAGAAGAACATATAACATTGCTTCCAACTGTAGAGTTTGGATCAGATTCTTTCGACTGTCTTAAACCAACGAAGAGAATATGCTCTTTTATTCCTTTTTAATTGAGGTATATACGAATCAACTTGATTACACATACAAATGGTGCTTATGGTAGAAAGTTAGAAACATTAATCTAATTTCATAGAAAAATAAATTCTTTTTTTCTTTGAAACTTAGGCTGTCATATTACTTAACAAAAGGAAAAAAAATGTTTACAGATCCATTTTGCCTTAGTGTTTTGATACCCATTAGTAGAAAATTCATAGTGCAGAAACTTCCTTATGTAGTAGCCCATTTGTTAGTCCAACACCTTTTCTAAGTCCATTCTCCTTTTCAATTTGGTTTTGAGAAGATAGTAAATCAACGGAAAATCGAGATAATGGTGAGGGTGGAGAGACCGATCACGCATAACATAATCACTCTTGCATCATATAGGAGGAGAGCTTTGGGTTGGAAAGCCTGAAACTCTGAATGCTATTTCTTATCTGGCGATCAATGATAGTGAAGAGAGCATTGATCGATCTGAAGGAGTTTGTGTGTAGTCTAGAGCTTCGCTCCTTCCAAACCCAATAGAGGTTGGATTGCCAAGCTAGAAGAGAGAGGAGGCGGAGGGGTCTCTGGGATTTCTGAGTCGGGAGACCTTGCATCTGCTGTAAAGTTTGAGTCCAGCTTCTCAACGGTTGAATAGAGCATTTGTTAGCCGTTAATTCCCATAGATCGAAGCTGAAGGAGCAGTTGAGGAAAATGTGATCGCGATATTCATGGTCATTGTTAGAGAGGAGGCAGAGCGGAGACACCTGAATGCCCCAAGTGAGAAGCTTATCCCTTGTTGGACACCTATTAAGCACAACCAACCAAGTATGGAATTGCTGTCTCGGGATTCCATAGGAGAACCAAACCGCCGAAGCCCATAAAACTTCATCAATATTTCCTCGTAAATAGGTACATGTCTGACATGTGGAGTATTTCAAACTTACTTTACCTGCAACCTCCCATTCATAATAGTCAGGATCAGTTGTGAGGGTGATATTTGTTAGAAAAGCATGAAGTGGTAATTGTGGTTCCGATCTCGCAGGTGGAGGACACCAAGCTCATATTCGGTATAGCGATGTCATAATTGCTTTATCTGGAATTCCAAGCCTTGAGACTGTGATGTTTAACGTCAATGTCAAGCTTCCAAAAGGTGACCAGTTATCGTACCAGAATCTAGCTGTCATTCCATCATCCAAGCGAGGTTTAATCAATGGGAACACCACTGACTTGAGTTTTAGGAGTTTGTTGGCTAACCATGAATAAGACGGGCTGGATTTAGTTGTCCAGTAGTTATAAATCGAACCTTTAAGGACCTTCTCCCGAAACCAAGCCACCCACACTGAACCTGCCATGAAAAAGAGCATCCATATCAGTCTAATGCAACACGCCAGATTCCATGTTTGGAGGTCTTTAATACCCAAACCTCTCTGCTCCTTGGTAAGTACACATTTTCCCCATGCTACTCTAGTTGTGTTGTTACATCCAATATCGCCTTTCCATAGAGACACACTACAAAGTGAGTTTATTCTTCTTATGCATGCTTTTGACAGAATGAATGCAGAACACCAGAAGGTGGTGATGCATGTGATGACAGTCTAGATGAGGAGTAGCCGGCCTGCAAATGAGAGCGACTTTACCATCCAAGAAGAGAGTCGTTTCATGATTCGATGTAGGAGAGGTTCGCAGCTCACATGTTCAGTTTTTTTTTCTGAGTTGAGTGGGACACCAAGATAACAGATGGGTAACTCGCCAAAAACCATACCAGTTGAAGCTTGGATTGTGTCTATCTCTGGCTCAGTTAATCCAGAAGTGAAAAAACTTGTCTTTTGCATACTAACCTTGAGACCCGACCTCAGCTCAAACTCATGTAATAATTTTAGGACGTGTTGGACCGAGTTGAGAGAGCCATCAAT